CTAATTATAATAAGTTATTGTAATTTTTAATTATATTCGGTTATCATAATTAATAATAATAATAATAATAATAATAATAATTTAATAAATTTCAAAAAAGAAGTCAATTATGAGAACGGGGATAAGAGAAACACTAGGATATTGTGATTTATTTTTCTAGATATCTTAAATTAATGAACACATTAACTAATCCATGATTTAAAACTAATTAAGCATAACTCATATTTTCAGCCATCTTCTCCACTCTCCAAATTTCCCAACTATCCAATCTCCAAGTTCTTCCAAAAACAAGTGTCATTTTTCCCCTCATAGCTTGTTTAGTCATTGTTGGTGTGTTATTGAGAAATCGATAAAGGGATCGAGAAACAAATGAGAGCAAAAAATCGAAAACCATTTTGATTGAGTTAAAGATTGATAAATCGAAAGATAGTTGGAAAATACGTTCGACGACCATGTGACAATATGATCGAGAATTAGAATCGAAAAATTGAAGGAAGAATGTTTTCGAGAAATTAAAATCTTGTAATGTTAAAGTTAAGGAAAACCAAGAGCAATTCAAAGTTCTCGAGATCAAGAGATCAAAATCAAGAGGAAGGCTAACCTGCGTGGATATCGAAATCCCGGCTTGGTCATAAAGAGGGGAACAGTTAAACGCGCACATAGGAAACAGTTTCTAAACCGTAGCAGAGGTCGAAGATCATGGGAACGTGGGTGCAGTTTTGATACCGAAGAAGAAACTGCAACATGCATGTAAGACGTGGTAGCAATTTTCGTTAACTGCTCCTAAGAGGTTACTTGCTTAAAGGATGCCCTATAAATAGAGTGAAGGATGAAGGAAGAGAGGAAATTGGCAGAGAGAGCATGAATACTAGTGAGAAGTCTACCGGAGAACGACGAACATCATGAAGTTTCTGGCGATCTGGATTTCCATGTTCATTGATTTCCTTTACCGTTTTCTTTATCTTCCCTGGTAATTTGCTTTGATGCAGTTTATGTTTAACAACTTTAAGTTTCTGTATTTTCGATTCCTTTTCATTTCTCTTTAATGAAAGTTAAGTTTCTGCGTTTAAATTCATTGTCATTTACATTAACGTAATTTCAATTTCCTGCCATTTTCATTTCTGTAATCTCGATTTCCTGCTATTTACATTTCTGTAATTTCAATTTCCTGTTATTTATATTTCCGCAATTTCGATGCTTTGTCGTTTACACTTAATGCAAATTGGAGGTTTCCGCATTTTCATTCCTTCGCAAGTTTTACATTCGGTATTTGCTTTTCGATTTGTCACTTTACTGTTTTCCTTATTTCGAGAATATAAAATACCAAAAATAGTGCTTTCGATTATTTAATCTTAGTATTTTCTATACAGTGGTATTTTCGATTCTCATACGCATTTCGATTGAAATTCAGTTGCTAGCATAAGTATAAAGAATCTACGTGGTTGAGTTTTGGTTAGAATCAAAGGCTCTTAAGAATCGAAATTAATCAAAATTCCACTAGAAACAAATTGGCGCGCCAGGTAGGGGGATTTGTGTCGAAAAAAACACAAAATTGGTTAGTTCGAAGGTGTATGAGATTAAGGAGTGGGCGAGTAATAAGAATGAGTCAGAATCCACCAAATAACCAGAGCAACAGTGAGGGTTTGAACTGTCTGAATGGTTCACATCCACCAAACATTGGGGGGCAAGGGCATAATGGGAATATGCCTGTAGTATCGACAACCGCGGGTATGTCGATACCTGTAAGTAATGAACAATGTTCAGGTACATTAGTAAATAATCAAGTAGGGTCTAATACTGTGATACCAAATAATATGCAAACTATGGGGAACTCCATAACAACATACGCAGGGCCGTATATGAGTGTAAGACCACCTGGTTTTTCGCTTAATAATATGAGTGGGGCTGGTACTTCTCCAGTACAACGAAATTCAAGATTTAACTTAGGAATGCCTCAAAACTTAGGTACATTTCAAACTCTAGGTATGCCGCAAAATTTCGGAGTATCTCCAAATTTAGGGGCGTCTCAAAATTCAGTAACCCCCCAGAATTCAGGGAGTGTGCAAAATTCAAGTACACAACAGACACCTCCAAACATAGATCATAGAATAAATATCACTACTAGAAAAATGTCAAATAGTAACCGAAATCAGTGACCGAAAAATTTAGTTACTAACAGTGACCGAATTAGTAACCAAATTATAATTTTTTAGTTTAGTAACTGAAATAGTAACCGAATTTTCGGTCACATAAAATCGGTTACTATTTCAGTCACTTTATTATTTAATTTATTTACATTTAATTTATGTAATTATTTTTGTTTTTCAATTATCCCAAATTTTCTTCATCTTCTTCTTCGCGTATCAACCACACTTGTTCAAGCTTAACCTAGATCCTTCATCTCTCGCATCTCCAAGCGAATTCGAACCTCAACCCCAGCCTCAACCTCGACGAACTCGAGACCCAAACCCAACTCCGACGGCGTCGAACCCCAATCTGAGGCGAAACCCGGTTGACCTCGAACCCTAGCCCAAACCTCAACGCCCTTGAATCCAAGCGACCTGCAACCGTGGCGACATCAAACCCTAACCTAAGCCTCGGTGAACCTACCTTGACGACCTCGGTTCCAACCAAAACCCATGAAACCTCGTGTTAGAACCCTAACCTTGACGAACTTGAATCCTAACTCGATTACCTCAAATCCCATCCCAAAACTTGACGACCTTTAACCCAAGCATAGGACATCACGAACACGGCCTCTATAAACACGGTAATGCTTCTTCAATCCATTTGAATTTCCTTATTCAATCTAGTTTTACATGGTATGTTTTTTATATGTGTTAATGGATGCATGGGTGGTGCTACAAAAGAAAATTTCTTATCTTGATTTACTGGATTGCAAATTGAAAACTTCAGTAATAGCTCCTTTAGGTTGGTATTACTGAATCTTTAAATATAATTAAGGCCACCATGTTAAATTTACTGGATTACAAATTGGAAACTTGAGTAAAAACTCCTTTAGTACATGTTTCCCTATTTGCTCTGTTCTGTTTGCTTGATGAGTTTTTGTTATCTTCTTTGATTTATGATTGGAATTATGATGAAAATGTGAAAATAGATATATTGGTTGGGCTAAGAGTTTGTAAGTAATCTGGTTTAGTGAAGTGTGTAAGAGGGTTTTCTCTAATACGGTTAAGACCATCATGGCAATACATACTAAATTTCTCTATTTTAATGTTTATAGGCGGAGTTTAGTCGTGCTCGGGAAGAAGCCTCTCAATCGGGATCTATTGCAGGAGGTACTCCGCTTGATGAATTAGAGGTTTGGTGTAAAGTTGCTTGGAATAAACAAAGGCAAAGTATATGGGCTTGGATC